CATTTTGAATACACCGAGCAGTAAAAACGAATCGAAGGTTTCCGAGAAAGGTCCAATTTCTCGTATTTTACTTTGTTTTTACAAATCAAAGGAAAGAAAGTCAATTAAGCTTTCGCTAAAATGCATGCGATCAAAAACCATTTCCCATTTGAGTTTTGGAATGTAATTTTTTTTTTTGGATGACAAACTGCAGTTATCAGTAATGCTCCATTTTGTCGGACAAATATCTCGAAACAGTTGTATCCCTATAAAGTGGATTTACAAAGCTACGGAACCTAATACGATCTATATTTTCAACCGTCACCACCATTTAGTACACCAGCGTTGAAGACTACATCATCGGAAAATGAAATTTCCTTACTCGCGGTCCAATGGGAACAAACAGTGTTAGAATTGTTTTGACGTTTACTAAAAACACGCGCTTGATATAGAATGAAATAGAAATCAAAACTTTATGAGTGCGGCTGAAAGTATTGCGAGTTCACTCTACCGACGTCCCGTTTGCCGTCATGTCTCAAACTGGAGGTTTTTAACCCTTTAAATAGTCGAATTGTGTGCTCTTTATCGACAGAAGGTGACACTTTTTTTTAAAGAATAATGACAGCGGCGGCGGAAAAAAAAGTTAAAATGCCATTCATTGTCCAATGAAATAAGCTTCCGAAGCACAGATAATAAAACCAAACATAACCTAACCTTTGAAAAGGGTGTAGTAAGTCTCCAACGCAATAAACATCGTGCGTTGTAGATCTCATAATTTTTATCTACTGTCCACATCTATCTCCGGAAAGTAACAGGCAAAGTCAATAGGTTGAATATACTTGAAAAACTAGGGAGGGTAAAGGACCGTGCACTTAGGTATGACATGTATTTAAAGCAAAGACCCTTCATTAAGAAAGAATGCTCAATTTGATTGGTTTACAAAACACATTAAAGGGTCGTCTCACCCAAGATATGTTAATTACGATAGACAGATGTTTTCAAAAGAAGACACCCACCACTACAGCTAATTCATTTCAAGTAAAGAACACGCATCGTAATTAAAGGGGCAGAAATATGCTTTGATACCTAAAGTAAGATGTACAAAACATGGTCTAAGGTCTCTTCGTTACTTCGCCGCTGTAAGGACTTGGAATTCGCTGCCAGAGACGATACGCGCTATGGCCGGCACAAGAGAAATTTAAAACTGGATTCCAGACACGCAATTTACATCTAAATTATGAGGTAATCATATTACTTATTAGAGTTTTATATCTTTTATCATGGAATAAACCCTCCCCCCCGGGGGGCAATGAATTATCGGCCAAGTAGCAGTGAAGTATCGGTGAAGTGTCGGTCAAGTATCGGTGAAGTACCGGTGAAGTATCGGTCATGTATCGGTCAAGTATCGGTCAATTATCGGTCGTGAATCGGTCAAGTATCGGTCAAGTGTCGGTCAAGTATCGGTCAAGTGTCGGTCAAGTATCGGTCAAGTGTCGGTCAAGTATCGGTCAAGTGTCGGTCAAGTATCGGTCAAGTGTCGGTCATGTATCGGTCATGTATCGGTCAAGTATCGGTCGTGAATCGGTCAAGTATCGGTCAAGTATCGGTCAAGTATCGGTCAAGTATCGGTCAAGTATCGGTCAAGTATCGGTCAAGTATCGGTCAAGTATCGGTCATGTATCGGTCAAGTATCGGTCATGTATCGGTCGAGTATCGATGGTTTAAGACTATATCGGTCGACACATTTATCGGTCGACTGTCGACCGATATATCGGTCGACTATCGACCGATAGTCGGTCGACAGTCGACCGATAGTCGGTCGATTGTCGACCAATAGTCGACCGATAGTCGACCGATAGTCGACCGATATATCGGTCGACTGTCGCCCGATATGTCGACCGAGTCCACCTATAGTACACATGATCCAAATCTTCTTTGGAAAAGAGGAGGTATTAATTATATAAGCTTCAACCCAATATAAAAGAAAATAACGAGGAATAAAAAATTAATACTGTCATTGTGTGTGATTCATCACAACTAATAAACAAAACAGTTTCCCATATATATGTGGAAAAAAAAACAGTCTGTCGAATGAGAAATATCTTGGTTGCTACAGACATCAGTTTTCCTTGACTTTTTTTATACATGCCAACTTCCCATGACTCAAAATAAAATTCCATGGCTTCTTTCCTGATCTTTTCCTGACATGTAGCACACCCGAATATAATTTATGGAGTACATGCTTGAAGAACTTAAGCTTAAAATGACTGTAAAAAACAGAATCGAAAACATTTTGAATACATGCAAAATTAAGACTAACCAGCAAAGCATCTAAAGTTGGTCTAGGTTGCAACGCCTGATGAGAAGGATTTTCGAAATCATCTTTACCAGTCGAGGTGGTGACCGCAGTAATCAAATCAGATGTCTTCTTTGATCCTCTACGTCTAATCTTCTTTGGCACAAACTGCGAAAAATTGCACGGGCCTCTTCTTTTATACCTCTCGCTTAATTCATTTTCATG